CCATGTTTCAATAGATTTATTCCGCGCTCCCTTTTGGTTCAGGTTGTGTTGACCTTTACGCCCCAAATTGTGAGGAAATTGTTGTAAATTGCAGGAGTCTTCAATGGGCTTTTAGAGTATTCACAATGAACCCAACCACCAATGTGGAACGAAACAACGTGTTGGCTGTTCTTCTGCTACTGATGGAAATCTATCCCGATTTGCTTCTGGGAAACTTGACTTTCGCTTACGGTTTTGCTCTTTCCTGCCTGATAATGCACTTTTAAACGCTACGCATGCATTTCAGATATAGCCATGTTGGCAATGGCTCGAGACATTTCCTTTCGCTCCAACTGGACCTCACATATCATTTTAACCACAAGCCACGAAGAYCACAGTTGCATGTCTTTGCTCTTGATGTGCATTTCGTATTTCCCCAATTGCCTATCAGGYCCTAARGTASCCKAAGAACACCAACTGTTGGGGCTGCTTATTGGCAACTAATGTCTTATAGGTAATAGAAGAATGTCGAGTGGTGATGGGGCTGCTAAAGCTCATTTCMCATCAGCAACAGATCAAATGGCATCCGCGACAAGAATGCTATTTGGTCAGCCTCTCTTTGAATATATTGCTGAAAATTGTGCCTGCCTCTACGGAAGAATTTATTGAAGATGGGGGCCCGTCAACGTACCCAAGGAAATTAGTTAGAGGCATTTTGCTGATGTTTGGTTTTTAGGGTGTTGCAACTTTTGTCCAACTCACGAGACAAAGTCTACCACTACAGCCACGACATTATGCTTCGAAGCATAGAGCTGCTGGCTCTGCTTTCGCACAAATTCACAACCATTCGGGATTCTGTTGCGTTCAATGGTGGCGTAAATTGCGTGTTGGGTGTGTGCCTGAAACCTTTCAGTTAAGCCCCTTATCCCAACAGTTGGTTTGCTTTAAGGACTGTGTGAAGACGTTTTGGAGTCGCACTTTTTACAGGAGCAGCAGCAACACTTGCTGTCTGCGGGGATTTTCCTTTTGGAGAAAGTCTGCAATCACATCAATGTACGTGTTTGGGTGTGCTTTGAATTGATGAAGGCACCAAGTGCTAAAAAACGACCAAAGTGAAGCAAACAGTAGGCCTGGGTAACTCAGTTTTAAAATTTCTTTAAAATTTAGAATTTTCCGGTTTTAGCCAAGCTACTCTTTTTTCTAAATGCTCGATTTTCTAAAGTTTTGCTAAAATGCTGCCAACCTTAACGTATTTTCCGTGAAAAATTATGAAACACATGTTGACTCCTTGGTCGCTTTGCAAAAGGTTTTGAAATCTCTTTCTAGCGTCTAATTTCGAACAAAAATCAAATCATATTCTATTAAAGAACGGAAAATTAATAGCTCGATTTTACAAGAAAACTCGTCGACTTTCTTTGGACTCGGTTCTGTTGCTGCAAGGGCGGATCCAGGGGGGGTCATGGGGGTCATGATTGATTTGCAACTCAAAGAAAAACCACGCAAATCTAAAACTTCTTGAATTCAAGCATTTTTTGAGAAAACTGCCAACATTTCCCCATCCATGGTTCTTTCTAAAAAGGCCATTTATTTCTGTCTAGAATGATGTACAAATGAGCGTTCTTCCCAGATAGCACACAAATATTACAGTAATATTTTTTTGCAATATTTAATATAGGTTGAAGCGACAGATTCTTGAATATTATAACAATATTTCT